ATACATAACTGAACAAAACTGTACTTGTAACTGAACACAACAATGCTTGTAAGCCAACAAGACGATGCTTGTAACTCAATGCATCGATACATATAATCTTACATCATTATAGAGTATTTAAATTATTTGATGCATGAATCCTTAACCAGTTTGTAAATGGCAAGATTCACTATTTCATATATAATGTTCAGGGGTAATTTGAAGACCTAAATTACTTTAAGTAAAGAACATTTCGTTCAAAACTCTATAAGTCAAAATTTTCTATCTTATCCCTCCAAATAATTAATCATATCAGGCTGTCTGTCTCCGAAATTTTCCCAAAAAAATAATTCTACACAATTTTTTAAATATAATCAAGATATTTTCATATTATTGAAAAATAATATTTCTATATATTAAATTTCACAAAAACGAAATAAGTTAAACCAAAATAAAAACTGAAATATACTAAACAAATAATAACAAGAAATAGATAAATAACAAAAATAAAATTAAATCAAAATAATTAAAACAAAACATTTTTTATATTAATTTGATTGAGGTAAGGGATTAGAAAGAAAATAAAAAAAATTCTTCACATTAACATAATTCTTTCACATTCTTATTTATTTTCATATTGAATTTTGTCGTATTCAACTATTTTAGATAGTATAATTTAACAAAATTTATATTCTTCAAATTAGTATTTATTTATAATATTATATAAAATATAATGGAACCAGACCTTGATTTTCAAATTTTTATTATATAAATATTTAATTTGTGTCAATTTAATTATAAAAATGAGGATCTATAAATATATATATATATATATATATAGACATATGAAATATTTACAAAATGGGTATACTAATTAATTTTATACTTAATCCAACGTTGCATAGATCTTATTATATTTATTTGATATTTTATTAAGTATTTCTAGGGGTGTTCAAGGGTTCGGTTTGGTTCGGTTTTGGACCTTTTCCACACTGAACCAAACATGCATGTCCTAGACATTTTTGGACACGATCGGTTCTGTCCCTTCCAAAAAAATCGAACCAAACCAAACCAAACCGAGTCAGTTTTGGTTCGGTTGACCTTGTAGGTCTGGTTCGGTTTTACACTCTCAGGCATTACTGCTGCTTCTCTTTTGGATGCAATATAAAAGCTTTAAAAAGTAAAAGACAATTGTAAAAAAAATGAGATCTTAGCATGAATAATAGGTCAGCTATCAAATTTAACTAGTTCAAGAAGCAGATGCAAGGCCCAGAGCTATTCTTGTTCAATTACATTTACTAATAAGAACCTAATACAAAATAGATGAAGTGTTCTTTCTCTAACGAGGAATAGACCTTTCTTTAACATATAAAACAATTACAAAAGTAGAAGGAAAACTTTACAGGTCACCTCTGTAAGGTATATTTCTTCGGCATCACGTCCTTGGGGGAAAACCTTCAAGAGGATAAGATAATTTCTGCCAGAAACAACATACCATATTGACGGAAGAATTCTCACAAAACATATTCAGAAAAAGCAGGTAACAGTAGTAAAATTTATGACTACATACCCAGTTTGTCCCCTCTAGTTGACAATAGAAGGAGGTAGCGGTATAGCCAGCAATCTCAGATGTAAGTGCATAAATAACAACCAGTGAAGTGAACAATGCTCCACGGTTGTATGGATAAAAGACACCCACAAGGGCAAGTAGAATTGACTAATGCAGATGTTTTAGCTTTATTAGTGGATAAATTAACTGAAAATGTGCAAATGAATACCCTTGGTGCATGTTATTTGAAGATGATGGTCTTTAAATGATGAAGCAAAAGTAGGGACAAATTCAAATTATAACACCAGACCACAAACTCTCTCATGAAAGAGAAAGGGCTTTAGCCCAGTATTAGAATTCAATAATTGTTACCACCAACTACCTTACTCAAAAGAAAATTAGCGTAGACATTTTCCTATAAGAGTCTTGTTAAAAATATTTAATACTAATTTCCAAACCATCTTATTTAATCAGTCAATAACTACACCCTAAAGTGCTATTTAACATTCCTCAAACTATTCTAAAAAAGCCCTTCATAATCTTCCAAGCCTCTCAACCATTAAAGAATAGATTGTCAACATGCATAAATATAAATTTACCGACAATGTAATGTGCTCCAAATGAAATTCACTCTCTGACCTCAGTTCTTTAAACAAATATTATCTTTGTACACAAAGGCAATGATAGGTCTTCTTATTGCAAGCTCTGTAAAAGTGAAATATTACATCAAAACAGATATATTACATCATGCAGATGGATTGATGGCAAACTGAAAGCCTTGCACCAAACGCAACTTTGGACTAGTATTAGAGGCAAGCATAACAAAGATTTGACTAAAGAAATGGGTAGAGGATGGGAGTTGTTTCTAGGAATCTAGAAACTCCAAGAAGAATAGAGAAGGCAGATAAACAAATTCACTAATAGTAACTACTATGTACCGTCGGAGACCAAAGGAGATGGGTAAAGCACAAAGCGTGTTTGGAAATTTAAGAACTCAAAGAACATAATTTAGCAGATGAAATTGGAAAACAAATACATTAAGCTACTACTATGTATTGCCGGAATCATCAAGCCTGTCAATTAGCACAAAATCTTTTATCCATCTCTGCAACTGCATTTAGGGTATAAGCTCAGGTGTACACATCAAAAGGGATCATCAGATAAAACATGAGTTAGAAGAAATGAAAACACCCAGATTTTGATTATTTCCTCTCCACTGCTAGAGGACAGTGACAGCCATTCTTCAACTGGATTACTAACAGGGTCGATGATCTATACCATTTTCTAAAACCGAAGAACCCATTTTGCAAGGTTTTTCAGAAATTAGTCTCCCTTTAGCAATGACAAAAGAAGCTTCTAGAATTCTCTAAAACTATTTTCAAAAAATCAGGAAAAGCTTTTTATTTTCAATAGGGTTACATATATTATATATACAATAAGCATCTACAAAACATAATGAAGAGGATTTGCTAACCATTGACGAAGAGGAAGGAGAGACGTCCTCCTCGGATCGGACTCCTTGGTCTGTCCGTTGTGCTGTGCGAGAGAGAGAGAGAGAGAGAGAGAAATCGATGAGAAAAAATGAAGAGAAGAACAAGTGAAGAAGAGGAAAGGAAGAAGAGGACTAACCTATGCGAGTGCGAGTGCGAGGAGATGAGTTCTATCGGTCGAAGAAGAGGAGAGGAGGCCTGCTTGCTGCGCAATCGCAAGAGAGGAGAAGGGCGTCTGTCGTTAGAGAGAGAGAGACGGCTCAAATGAAATTAGGGTTAGGCTTTTTTTTTTCTTTTATATCTATATAATATATTTGTATTAATAAACGAACTGAACCGGTCGGTTTAGTTCGGTTCGGTTTTGATTCAGGCCAAAACTGAAACTGAACCGAACCGAACCGAACCGAACCGATCGGTTTAAAAGCCTTTAAAACCAAACTAAACCAATTTTATTTGGTTTTATTCAGTTTTTGATCGGTTTGGGTCGGTTTGGTTCCGGTTCTGTTATGAACACTCCTAGGTATTTCTAATAAGAAGTTCTCATTTCTTATATTTTACCATGATATATATACTAAATAATTTATGTGATCTTCATTATATTATAGTTGTTATAACAATTCTGTCAAATATTAAGGGTTAAGTGTTGCTAGCCCCTAAGAGAATAATGGTTCTTTAAAATACAAATTCTCTTTTTTTATTTTAAATTTGTATTTACTCTTTTATGGATTATTTGTTTGCTTATATATATATATATATTTATATATATATGGGGCATATGCAATTATCTTAATTTTTTTATGAAATTTTATTATAACTAATTCATATAAATAGAAATTCACTTTTATAGGAGATTTATTAATTCAAAAAATCAATTTATATTAATGAATTATTTGATTACAAGAGTTTAAATTTACAAATTATTTACACACTTCAAAAATACAATCATGACTTGAAATTCTATCAGTTATTTTTAGATAATTTATACCCATATTTAATTAAATATAAAATTTTAAGAAACTAAAAAACTTAGAGTCATTAATTAGTGATCTATTTTGAAACCATTACAATTTCCAATTGCGAACTAATGACCTATTTTATAACTGCTCAAAATGGGGTCACTAATTAGTGACTCCTATTATGACTGCTTACACGGAGGTCACTGAGTAGTAGTCAAACATAAGGGAGCATGACCAAATTATTGACCCCTTTTGTAATCGAAAAAATAGGTCACTAATTAGTGACCTATTTGTAACCGCTTAGAACGGGGTCACTAATTAGTGACCCCATTAGTAACTGATATAGAGCGGTCACTGAATTACAGATCAATTTGTGATTGATTTATTGTGGGTCACAAAATCGATCACAAAAAATGTCACAAATTTGGTTATTACATTTTTAAAACAAATAAGATCATTTGGTCACCATAGATCACTAAGCAATCACTAATTAGTGATCCCAAGAAGAGATCACTAATATACAGTCACTAATTTAACTTTTTTTGATAATGTAGCCATCTCATCATTTGTATTTAAAATTTATGTATAAAATGGTTAAGTAAGGTAAAACTTAATGAGTTGAGAGGTTTAAAATGGCAGTTAATAAGTGGAGGGGTTTAAAGAGTTCATGTTTCATAATAAAGAGATTTGAAAGGACTTTACAACGACTCAAAATCATCCGTTAATAAAGTTGTGGGTATTACGGTTGATAAGAAAATGAATTTCACGACTGCATGACAATTGAACAAGAGGGAATTTCCATGCCTATAAATACCAGAAGAAAGGGACATGTATACACAATTGTTTTTCAGTTGGACAGAACTAAATATGATCCTTTAAAACATTCATTATTTGTTTCTAGCTTCCCCTTAATGAGAAATCACACATACAAATTTTCCTCCTAAATGGAAATCTTTTATATTCAAATTTAAACACATACTGCAAACTATATATATTAAATTTAATAAATATTACAAAATTACAAATTCAGTAGGCATCTGGAAAACATTGCAAAATCATGGTCTTCGATTGCTTAAACCCCAACTGGCTACAATCTGCAGGCGCAAAAGAGACTTGCTTCCCCGCAAGGTCATACTCCACTTGGAAATTTATTTGAGCCCAGTTTCCATAGATGCTTTTTCCACCATTTGTAGGAACCATTGTAAAGCAAGACAGATCACTAGATATTGCTCTGAAAAGGTTTAGTTTCTTGAGTTCAACGTCAGCTCCCCTAAAATGGAATACAAGTGTAACTTCAGGAATGTTCTCAAATGAACTTCGATCATAGCATAGGCTGTAGCTCCCTCGTGGGTCATCAACTGGAGCCAACTGAATCTTCTCCTTCACTGCCGTTTCCAACTCATCGTAGAAACTCGATTCTAACAGAGTTAATGTTGTCCCCGAGTCAATGATAATATTACCACCATCAGCAGCAGCAGCCAACTGATTGTTCGTTATCTTCTTGTCCTCAACACTTACACTTTCAAGGGTCAGATAGTAGAAAGTACCTGAGCTATCAGATGAGAACGGGGTTGAAACCACTTCTGGCCCAGTCAAAATTGCATCAGATCCAAATTTGAGTTTGCTAGCAGAGGTCATGGTTCTGGGCAATAAACAATAGGAGAATTTCTGCTCAATTTGTGAACCCAATTGAGAAATAAGGGATAGTGGTCCACCCCCTAGGCCAACAACTCCAGAGCCGCGACTGTCGAAAGTCCCGCCATTATTATGACCACAACCAAACACAGAGTTGGGGAAGGGAGCAGCACCATCGGTGGAAACAAAAGTAAAGGTGTCTGTGGCTAATGCTCCCCTCGTATATGATTGATCTCCATATCGATACTTGTATTGACACTTGTTATCCCAAAAACTACAGTCGCGGCTTGTTGATGGTAAATCGTTACAAAGATTATCATCACAAGGAAGGTCAGCATAAGTAGAAGATTTGGTGGGATTGAAGAGAGGAGCATCTTGAGGGTAGCATTCTGATTGTGGGCAAGGTTCACATTGGATCCAGACAAGATCACTTCCAGTGTCGGCGACGGCCAGAACTTCAACTGGGGGGATTCCGATGGAGAGTTTCATGAGATAATCGCCGCCAGTTGGGGTTACAGTAGACTGAATTTTGTTCGTGTCTAAGGAAGATTGATGGAAATGGTTTGCTCGGGCAATTGAACGGAGGGCATCACCATTAGAGAGGTCTTCAACTGTAGCAGAATGGTTACGAAAGGGAGAAAGTTGCGAGTCACGATGGATAATCTCAATGGTGAAACCGCCAAGTTTGGCATCTACGAGGGGTTGAAAGGGTAAGCAGCAAGAGATGACAAAGAGAAAACATGCTATTTGGTTAATGGCAAAGTGGTTATTTGCCATTTTGGATGAGAGGTAGATGGGGGATGGTGGGGTGTTAATTGTTATTTATAGGTGAGAGTTGCATGGACCAACAAGTAATGAAATGAGTGTTTGCGCTCCTTGGCGAGGGTCTACTTGAATTATATGAATAAGCGTTCCATTGTTTCACTGTCTAATTTTCTTCTGTTTTTTTTTTCTTTTTTTGGTTAGAAATAACAGTAGTTCCTTATATTAGTAATACCAAATTTCATTAATTTGTTCTTCCATAATTTATCTAACAATGACATTTAGACATAATTATATTTATTTAGTTTTGTCTAACAAAAATTAACTTTAGTTGCACAAAACACAGTCACAAAGCTTTTTTTTTTTTTAATTTTGGTTTAGAAAAATTAAATTCTTTAAAATTCAGAAAATCAAATGAGAAATTTGGAAAATTAGATTTTACAATTGATTTTTCTCAAATCTAATTTTTGATTCCTTAGTTTGATTTGTCTCAAATTTTGGACTATAATTCTTTTGTTAGATTTTATAAACCCTCTTAAATTTTCAACCCTCTCACTAAATTGGCTTTGATTTCTTCTTTCTTCAAATTTAATTTTTAATCTCATTGTTTTTCAAATAGTTTATTCGACATGAACTTAGTTTCTATATAGATATCCAAAAGTGGTACTAGGTTCACGTAAATTATGTTAGACAAAAATTTCAAAAAAAAAAAAAAAAATAATAATAATAATAATTTGAGTTGTACCTTTTGGAAATATATATCGTTTCACAGTAGTACATGTGAATGCATGGCTTTCTCAGCTTGCTCGTCAAAAGGTGAATTTTTGACGTTAAATCATACGACCTACTTTTTGCAATGAAAAAGCTCAGTTGGCTGCCGAAAATATCGGAACCCTTTTTTATTATTATTATTATGATTTCTTTTGGGAATTTCCACAAACCAAGGGAACAGGTTAACACGGCAAAGACCGTTTTCATTTCAGGTCAATATTTACAGTATTGATAATTAGTGTGAGGATTAAGTCAAGAAGACTAGATATTTTAATTTAATTAAAGCGCCACCACTAAGACAACGTGAATTTAATAATTAATTAGTTTTTAGAATAATCTAATTCAGTAATTTTTTAAATGAATCTTTATACTGCCAATCCTGAGGTTCTCTTCAAAAAAAAAAAAAATTGTGACTCCCCATAGTTTTAAAATAACTCTGACCTTGCCTCTGCTTTAATTTTTTGTTACAAATTCCTCCTTTTCATTACTTATTAACCATCCAAAATTGATCACTTTAATAGTTAAAGGCTACTAATATGACTAATTCACCCCTAAAACGAAATTAATAATAAAGCTGCTTTAATATTCTGCAATATATATATATATATATATTTATGTCAACAGTTTTATAGTCAGTAAAAGTTTACCTTTTAGTAAAAATTCTCTACAAGAATTTACGGGAATGACGAATGATTTGTTGCAAAATTTTTTTAAAAAAATACTAATCTCTGGCTACTCCGTCACAAACATATTTATGCCAAGTGTTTTATATTCAGTAAAAGTTCACATTTTAGTAAAAATTCACTGCAATAATTTATGGGATTAGAGAAGGATCTATCGCAAATTTTTTTTTAAAAATGTCAATAATCTTTGGCTAAATAACAAAAATTAGTCGCTAATCTGTCATTAGTATATTTATGTCAATAGTTATATGTTCAATAAAAGTTCACATTTTAGTGAAAAAGCACTACAATAATTTATGGGATTAGTGAAGGATCTATTGCTAAATAAAAAATTGGTAGCTAATCACTCTTTAATCTGTCGCTAATGCATAACCAAACTTGAGACAAAACTACCACTGATCATTGGTTAATCCCTCACTAATTACCCGGTAAGACATAAAAAATTAAAGTTCT